TTATAGCTTTATAATGAAATGTTTTAACTGCTGCCCTCACTTCACCTGTACTGAAGCTTTTACACACCAAAATAAGACAAACCTATAGAGAGCTCATTCAAAGAATATCTTCTGAAGTGGGGTTTGTGGACAAGTTATGAACAATAAAGGTCTTACCTGTCGGTCATAGCTTTTTGAATGGCCACATATTGGTGCAAACAAGTTTAATTCTGACTACATTGATAAGCTAACAGCTAATCTGGAGGGCAGGACCAGAGCAGACTACTTTAATGTTACATATTTCACACAGTTGTGTTTTATAAACATTTATATCACGGCCAATTTAAAATTACACAGTTATTCAGGCAGAAATTTTACAATATTCGTGCTAGAATTGCCCCATGCTGTGCTGGAAGTGCTACAGCCAGCTGCTATGACCCTGTTTTGCATTTTCAAATAGACCACAGATTTCATGTAAATTACAGCGTAATGTGAAACTGATTGCAAAGTAGAGGTTTATCCATCCATCCATCCATCCATCCATCCATCCATCCATCCATCCATCCATCCATCCATCCATCCATCCCCGTTTTTCAACAGTGTTAAATTAGAGTTATTTTAAGATTACACCAAACCTCTTTGGTTCTATTCAAATTAGCTTTTAGCGCTTCAATCCAATTAGAAAGAAATAATTTATCCAAATTGAGGTCTTACAAAGAGCTCTCTATAACAGGTAAGATAGTAAATGCTCAGAACCACTCCAAAGAACCCCCACTTCAACACATCTGAACTACCGCTTTAACAGAAGATCCAGGAACAGGATTAAAAAAGGAAACAGTTTGAATWATATTACCCTAGATTTTGTCCCTAAATGTTCATTTGGACCAAGTTAAATGAGAAAATGTTATGCTGTTATGTAACCAGATCATTAACTCTAATAAACAGTTGACAAACGCAAAACTTTGATTTTGAATTGAGGGAATATGTCTTTAATTACATACATAAATTTAGCAGGAAATTACAAGCACTCTAAAACTGAGGTTTGGCCTTCTAATGGGTCCATTGGTAAAAAAAAATTTAACTAAAAGGTTCTCATAGTTTTAATGACTGGGAGCAAATCTTGGAAGGCTGTCATTTACAATTCAAATCCAATAATTTAAGATGCACGGCAGGTATATCAAGTAAGATCCTTCCTGGCTTCTAGTTTCCTCTTGGTGGTGCTGTGTTTTTCTTGACATTGAAGTGTAACTTGTGTTTTCTAAATTAAAAATATGGAGCAAAGAYGATGGAGATCATTCCCACGGGTCGCATCATGTATTTTATAACTCAAAGTATTCTCAATATGGCAAATGTTCATGGTTAAATGCTACAGCAGTTCTGTCAGACTTAACTGGATAATTTGATAGTGAGTCTGAAAAGGAGCTAAAGTTGTGATGTATATTTAAGCAAGAAACAAATCTCCCTTGGGAAAAGCTGAGAACTTTTTGTCAACCATTCATGAAGCACAGAATATTGTTATAGGGATAATTTCAGAAATGTTGCTGAGATTGTTCTCATTGTTCGGCTTTGGTTATCGGAGTCCATTGAAAGTCATCTCTGCTAGGAGAGATGGAGTGAGGTCAGCGGTCATGACACTGTCAGTCAACGTGGGGATTCAGTGAGGAATAACCTCCACAGTGTTATGTAACCAAACAGTAACTGTTTATAATCAAAGCTGGAATTAGACCCATTTTAGGTAAATTTTAATTCTTAAGTTAAGCAGTTTCATTATTTCAGTGCTGCTGAGTAGCAAAACTAGTATTCCTTGAAGTAAAAATTTTGAACAAAGTTCCTATGTGACCAGAGTGTGTGTTAGGGATGACTCTCAGCTACTGTCACACTATATCTTAGCTGAAAATGTGTAAAATGGATTCAGGTATAGTCAATTAACCAGCTGTAGATCTTTCTGGAAATACAGGTGATCGCATGATTCGCTCGCCTTTTATGATAAGGGATAATAATGTTTCATATAAACTAAAAGAATCATATGTGTGACTTTAAATGCTTTTTTTGTCATCTGTCTTTTTACACTTCCTCCACACAAAAAAAACGAAGTCATCCTGCAGTCACGAGAAAAATTCTGCAAATAAAAACTAAGAACTTTCAGTCTTCGCCCATTTCTCCCTGTTAGCAATCATGAACGAGCGCTGTGTTGAAACGCTGGGTGGTGGTGGGAATGCCTGAAGCTGTGTTGAGTTAAATTAATTGGTAGTGTCAGAAACAGGAGGTGGCGGCGGGGTCAGAGGTCACYGTACCCCTCACAAAACAAAAATGAGCCACCCAGCGAGGAAGTCAACAGAAGATGTTTCCCTGCGAAGCCCTGGCAACAGCAGCTGCTGGCAAACACGTGTGGGACAAATGTACCATCTGAACCAATGGCGGCGCTTCTATCATCACCATATGGGGGCTGCCACACAAACACAGCAGAGAGGGTGGGGAGAATAAGGAGAAACAGTTGCAGCAGAGGCAGTAAAAGATAACACTGATGAGACTTGAAGTATTGTCTGTATGGGAAATGAAGCTCTGGTTGTAGAATCTGCTCTGTAAGCTAAGTACACAGCATCATTAGGGTTGAATGGAATGAGGACTCCCTGTTGAGAAAATCATGGGAGAGATACTGCTATTAGCTAGTCTGCAATCAAGCAGGTTTTACTGTTCTTTCTATTGTTTCCCTATAGGGCTTAATTACTAGTGATGGTCTCTTTCTGCCATTCCACCTCACTAAAATCCTATTTTATACAAACTGCCCCAAGAAACTAAATGAAGCCATGGGGGTCCTCACACACTGCTCTTCTTTTTTCCCCCTCTGATTCCATCACTTAAAACTTGATGACTCATCTCTTTTACTTCTGTCTACTTGATTTTCCACACTTTCATTTCGTAATTTTATTTGCCTCAGTCCTCTGTCTGTCCTCCATCTCATGCTCTGTTTGTATTTTTCTTTCTCCTTCTCTTCCCCTCGCCAGCTCTGGAAAGAACATTCGCAGAGCTCAACAGTGACACAAGGACCGTCTCCTTCATGGCAGACCGTGCTTGTGTTTTTTCAATTAAGCCCAGCTCCTGTACATTTGGGAAACCATAACTCTCATGGTCCAGCAGAAAGTAGTGGAAAGTCGCTTAGCCCCGCCACCCCCCTCTTTTTTTTTAAAAAAGCTTTTTATTTTTTTGTGGGGGGAGAGGTATTGGAAAGACATGTTCCCCTGAAGCACGTCAAAGAAGTGAGGTTGGAGAATAAAACCAAAGGAAAACTTTCTATGAGAATCCAAGAGGTGTTGATAGGAACTGAATGCCTCACTGAGGGGCATCAGGGTGCAACAACACGTGGGGTGAATAGGATCTAGAAGGAGGTGAGGAAAAGAATACAGATGGACTGATTTCCCAGGGAATGTGGATAAAAAGTGAGCGAGTCACAGGCCGGATCTAAATTGCCCAGCGGGGAGGAGGACAGAGCCACTGAAATCACTTCAAAGCCCGGTGTCACTGGACTGCAGATGCTTCTTGTCGATTATATTTACAGAGATGAGCCCCAGTAGCATGCTGCATCCATCTGCTTTTAAGACAAATCAACAAAACGCATGAAGAACTCTCCACCACAATGTACGCTAATAACTGATTAAAACTTACAGTATATCAGGCTGTGTGATAACACTTATTCAAACTGAACACTGAGAGGAAAAAACAACTTTTTCATAAGATATTTATACAGATCTGAATGATGAGTCACTTATTATGGAGGAATAAAGAGATTTTTGAGAGCAACAGCCAAATAAACTTTGTCTCCATTCTTCCTTAAGGACTTAAAATTTTATGAGAATACACTGCCAAGGCAATGACACCAGCAAAGGGACAAATAAGCATAACAAAACAATAACCCAATTAAATAAACAGCAAATATCTGCAAAACTACACTTTAGGTGTGAGAAGGATCCTTTCAGAATACTCACTCAGCCAAAGAGTTCCTCTGACAACAAACTTTTATCTTCAGGTTTGAACTTTCTCCAGTCAAACWCAATGATACGCCCAAAAAATGCCACTCAAACTTGGCAACAAACCCTGGAAATAGAACTTTGTACATAAAGAAAATGAGCTGAAGTTTGCCACAGTGAGTCTATGATTTCTCTCTGATTTCCAACCAAAAAAGAACCTCAGGAGAAGAAACAAACACAAAAAAAGCCCATGGGATTGAGGAAAACTGCTCATTTTCAAGTGGTCACTTCAGGCTGGCACAGAAAGTAGGTCAGTCCTTATCAAGCTTTGTTTTGACACTTGTAGCCTGAAAAACCATGTGTGTTTGGTCTGAATTATCACTACAGTGGGATCTGTGATTGACAGGTAAACACTAGTCTTTGGACGCTTGTATGGTTTTAGAATAATCTCCACAACTTCACTATTATTGATCTTCATGTCCAGTTTTACAAACAGCAAACATCACATTACTCCCAATAAAACAACATGGTTGGATTGACTCCATCAGCTGGGATTACTACAGGGGGAGGGAGATTAGCTGCAACAAACTCTCACACTGGCTGTAGTAGTTTGGGCTTGACTGTTGCTGCACTCACATCATCAACTGTAAATTAATATGAAGTAGTTTAGACAATCCTGTTCATGGAAAATGTCTGTGGATTTATAGAGCTCTGGAATGGCTTACTTAACTTAAAACTGTCAGTGAAGTTCAGGTTTTATTCAACTCTTCTTATTCCAAGGTAATTGCAGTTTATTCCCATCAACTTTCTAAAGTTAATTTGCTCACAGTTTGCTTATACAGTATGTTCATTTGTGCATGCTTACATGAGCACACACAAGTAAATATACAGTATAAACAAGAAAAGATCACACAAACACATGCATCCTGAAAGTGGGTGTGACCTAAACAGGTCATCCCCCAGCCCTCGCCCCCTCCACCCCCCACCACAACAATCAACCGACCCAGACAGTGAAGCAGGGCACTATTAGAGAGCAGCAAGTGAGGGAACTCTTACCTCACGAGTGAATCTGTGAAGCCGACACAGGCAGAAGACTCATGGTTGTAGCCGTTTCCTTTAGTCTGGGTCTCTTTGCGTCACTCAGCTGGGGCAGACGGGAGCTGGGGCTCATGGGCGGCGCAGAGCGGAGCAGCTTTCAGCACGTTTCAGACACACAGAGAGGGCTGCGCAGAGCCCGGCCCGTCCGCTCACACTCTGCCTTCTGAGGATGAAAAGAGAAGACTTCATTACCAACACAAACCCCGCCTCCCTGCGCTCTCAGCCTCCCTCCTCCTTCTCCACTACCTCCTGGTTTCCCTTCCATGCTCCCAGGCAGTAGCACGCTCCAGGCCCTGTCCCGGCCAACAGCGGGGGATCAGACTGCCAAAAYAKAAAAAAAAAAAAAAAAAAAYAAAAYAAAAYAAGGAAAAAAACTCTCGCCCCACTGACTGCCAGTGTGGTGTAGTGGAAAGGCAGAGAGGGAGACAGGAGATGCAGAAATAGAAAGGCAGCATATACTGTATCACAGCATCCACACACAGTTATGTGAAGTTTTTACATTAATTATGGCATCTGATTTATTTCTCGTCCACTCTTAAGCATGAGAGAACGACATCAGTAGGTACTGTWTATGATGTGAGAAGCTGAAAGTGAGAATGTTAAAGTAAAACAAAGAGGGGAAAACAGAAGCAGGGAAATTAAATTTGGAAAAAGTAAAGGGTGTGAGGTGTGAGGAGACAGACAGGAAGACAGAAAGAAAAACCCCAGACAGACTGAGACACAAGATCAATCAGAAAGTTTCAGAGAGCAAAGTTAAATAAAAAAAGCTCATTCAACCAGGGATGGTTGAAAGGTCTAATTAAGACTTACTGTAAGAAAAATCACATCAAAAGACTGTTGCTCAAGTCTCTCTCTCTCTCTCTCTCTCTCTCTCTCTCTCTCTCTCTCTCTGTGTGTGTGTGTGTGTGTGTGTGTGTGTGTGTGTGCTGGGGGTGGGAATGATGCTGCTCTCTCTGTGCATCTATAAACCCAACTTTACACCAGCTCTTTGCCAGCAGTTTCCACAGTTAACACCCCGAATAAAGCTGAAAACTKCTGTCCTTCCTCAGTGTCTTTCTCCTCATCATCATCTTCTGCGCTTTCCCCTCATATGCCAGAGTGAACTCTCTCCCCATCAAATGGGGGGAAAATAGACCTAAAAGCATTAGCTGTTTACTGTCTGTAATTATAAGGGGCTGGGTACAGTCGGCTGAGGCAGGCAGGCTCTGCACCCTGCCCCCAGTGCCACCACATACAAACTCAGCTCTCCCAAGTCTGCCAATTTCAACTGGCTTTTGGAACAGAACAGAAAAGATTAAATAGAGAAAGTTTAGCCAAAAGTTTTAGAAAACTATTTTATAAATAACACACACATTTAAAAACAGTTTCGGTTTCAAACCATTTTTTACTCATTGACATAAACCAGTAAAAATCAAAGTTCAAAGTTTGGCTTATATGTTGCAGATGAAGAACAAGTTTATGGGATTTCTTTTTTATATTTAAAAGGAGACAGAGTGAACCTAAAACAAAATGACACACCCCCGTGATAGGATGCAGCTGTACTTTCAACACAAGTGAGCTAAATATTAGAAGAAGAAGAAGACAGTTGGACTCGTAAGAAAACATCACAAATCAACTAAACCTTTTACAGGAAAGAGTGAAATATAACATTAAAGAGAAGGGAGGTGGAAACAGCATTATGACGTGAGAAAAAAATGCATTTTTTCCTCCTTCGTGCAGCACATAATAAAGTAAACAGGGATTATACCGATCTCTGGCAATCCTTCACACTAACATTAACACCTACACAGACCCTCACTGTGGTATAATGGTGTCAAATTTACACAGGTCCACTAAACAGTACTTAAGGTTATGAGCTGCCTTCATTGTAGGTTGGGAAAGCTGGGGTCTGGGGTTTGAGACAGCTGGAAGGATGACGGAGAAAGGAGAGATTAACTAATTTTAGTCTGCTTTATTGCTAAGATACACRAATTCTCCCAAACCAGAGACATAGACAACCCTCATGTGGTGTTTTATGTTTTATGACTTTAATCAAGGGATTTAGTGTCAGAGAAAAGACTAATCCAACATCTGAAAGCAGTTGTTTGTTTACTGTCTGCTAAATGATCAAATATTTCAATCATTGTAAATGCAGTAAATTGATAAAAATGGCACAAAGTGGCCATGTAATGAGGGAAATAAGAAGTTCAGAGACAGGCTGCCAGAGAAATGAGGGAGTTTCAGTATTTTAATGTGGGATTTGTAAAATTGGGTAAGAAAAAAGACTGAATATTCAGTTCAGCCACTAGGGGCTGAAGAACCCTGCAATTTAAAGTTCTACTCTTTTTACTGACAGCAACGAGGAAACGTCTGACTAAGCTCTACTACAGCACCGCTCTCTTGCACCCTCCTCAGTTATTTTCAAAGTTTTGAGCATTATTAGCTGATTACTGAAGTAACATTTAGAGCTTAAACAAATGCAGCACAAAAAGATTAAATAAAACAAGTTTAAGGGATAAATTAGAACTAAACAAGAATGCTTAGTAGTAAAAAAGTGTTAACCTAATAACCTCACAGCAAATTACAGAACAACAAACAAACAAAWAGTACTTTTTTGATAAGATTTCTATCACGTATCAAGATATTTTTAACTACAAAACTGCAAAAATGTAACTTGCTAAACTTATGTTATGCATTGAACAATAGTGAAGCAAAAACAAGATATAAAACTTATCCAGCACATCATTAATTTCCATTTAGATGGTTCAGATTTTTGTGAAAATAAAATTTTTACACTTGATGGACTAAAACTGAAGCTGATGAAGTGAGGGGACTTCATGTGTTCAGCACAGTTAAAGCTTTTGTGAGGTGTATATTAGTACAGGACTAACATTTCCAGGATGAATATGGAGATTACTTGAAGCTGAGGAATGTGTCTATAAGAACAGAGCATGCTTGTCTTTTAAACAAGAGTCTAATTTTACTATTTACTTTTGAAAAACATGTGGACACACAGTCTGACTGCCAAGGTGTCCAAAAAGCCCTTCTCTCTCACTAATTTTCTGAAAATAAAACTAATGTGAAATGCCACTGCTGAACCTATAAATGGTTTTATTGGTCTTGGAATATCCTAACCTCTCCTCTGGGACCAATAATTTATTCCGAAAATGAAATAAACAGTGACTTTTAAGAAGAAATGTCGATTTGCTGTTCTAATTAAGCGTTACTAAAAATGTTTTCGCAGAAAAAATATATAATTCATGACAAACATATTTATATGCACCTTCTCCAAACACTTATTGTTGTTTTCCTTTTATGGCTTTCAGTAAAAGACGTGCCGCTTCATGACAGGATTACACTTGAGTCAAGTCACTTTGAATGCTGCTCTCTGAAAAAAAAGCAAAAATTGGACAATGACGTATCTTAACTGCTAAGTAAGAACTCCAGCCTCTGCTTTGTGTTTTAATAAGTTCTTAAAACGTTTATAGTTCAACTACAGCTGTAAAATTATAACTTAAACCTGATTTTGCCAGAGCAGCCATAAGTTTTTGGAATGCCAGGGTTATTCCAGGTCATGTTGGTGACACACCCAGTACCCCAATGAAAGGCTTCTCCATCACCACCAACACAAGTGCTCCTGCAACTGTCAATTAGAACCATTGAGTGTAGGCACTGGCTGCATGTGGTGACTCAAGCCGTGACTCAGTCACTGCTAAATACCTGAAATGGCCAATAAAAATAATTACATCGAGGCCCGGTAGCAGGAATACACAGTGTTTTACACACGAGGACCAGTTTAGTGAGTTTGTCGAGACAACAAGACACCAAAACAAATCTGTTGGTTTCGACTCAGACACAGGTGATCGACGCAAACCCAACACGTCCGATTCATCCCTCTGTCTGTGCAGGAGCTCCTGGACTGAGCGGACCACCTGAACTCTGGGAATTTCACACCTTTGATGGCCCTGACTAGGGATAGGCAGAGACCATCACACCCTGGTGTTCAATTTTTGACCCAGAAAGCCCGACTGCCATGAACCACCCCCACCCCACCGCCTCGAAGCAAACAGGGGGCACCCCAGCCAGTGTAGACTTAGCAGCTTGGCGATGTGTACTCGCCCTGTCCTGTGGGCCATGAGTGATTATGTTCCCAGGGAGTCAGTGTCTGGTGGATTCAGGTTTGGAGAAGGCTAGTAGAATTTAGGAAGAGAAAAGATAAAGTTACTGTTTTAAGCACCTTATGATGGACTAAAGGTTGACTTGGAGCTCGAGAACGTCCTCCTGAAAACACGTGGACAGCTCTGGACACCACAGAGACACAAAGGCTGCTGGTGGGGTCGTGTTCCTTATAAATGTAGTGAACTAGGGTCACTGTAACAATGTAAGACATCACAATCTATCTTTTAAAATAATAATCTGGTGCAGAAGTCTTGCAGCATCTGGTAGCTTCAGTTGAAGAGCACTTCCACTAGCTCCACTCTTTATAACTACTTATTAAAACATTTTAAAACCATGTTCTGATAAAAAAAAATCTTATAATAGCTTCTAAAAATAACAACAGCCCATAAAGAAATTTGTGCTTTTTGTGTACATTCAAGTAAGCAATTAATAAAGTAATACTGTATGTTTTACAGTGACAATTTACTTTACATTAATGTCCTAAAGACATAAAGAAAAAGAGCTATTGGACACCTTTAATCTTAAAAAAAATAAATAAAATAAAAATTTGGCCGATTTTTTAAATGTATTTGTCCTTTTATATTTCACTGTCATTTCTTCCTTTTTTCTGCACATTTGCATGTCTTTTTATTTTTTTTCTACACAAGGCACTTAAAGGGAAATGAACTGACAATTGCAAAGTGCATTTTATGAAACTTGGCTTTCTCAAGTCAACTAAAGTTACTTGAACCTCTGGAGTAGTCTGAAAAGTTCAGAGTAGGGCAAATATAAACAAGATTGCATAGAAAAACATCAATTTCAAGACTGATGAGAGTCTCCTTAAACCACTGGAACCACCTAAACCGCTGGAAACAGGAAGTGAAATTAACCTGTTGTGACATATTTGAGTTCTGCCCGATCACAACTAACAAGTTACGGCCCAACCTTTTAATCAAAACTCATTTGTGGTTGTGTTTTGTAAAATTTAATTGCATTTTGCACATTAGGGACACACTGTAATATTTA